TACGTGAATACACTTGACGCGGGTTGTAATTCCTCTGGCGGGAGTTTTGTCAGTAACTGGTAAATGTCATATCCGCTAATGCTCTCTGATCTCGTCTACCTAGCGTTTCCTGTACCACCGTATACTCACACTAAATTTTCCTGCGCACCATTACACAAGTCCACTACGATGACAATATATTCCATTGTATTTTCACGAGAACATTGTTAACGAATGAAGAGGTAGAGAAGGATGAACAAGACAAGGAGGAGCATGAGGAAGAGAACATATATGAGGAAGAATGAAATAAAAGGTAGTAAAATGACCGACACATGGAAATATAAACACAATGCAGTATAATGTGATCCTTCTTATATTGACTACGCGTTTTCGCCCACACAGTGGCTGGTTTTCTCAGTCGCAAACAGATCTACCTGGATGGAAGGGACGCGAGTATTATAGTCAGTTCAAATGCTGAGGTCAGGTGGAGAATGCATGCATCTGATGATGTACCGAAGTGGGGTTAAAGAGTCTAAAATCATGGTAACATGGAAAGGAGATTGGATTAAGTTTGTGAGCAAGACTTCTAACAGTTTCTTCCCCATTCCTGTGTTCTTATGTGGATAGCGATGAAGAAGTTCTGGCAAGTGTTCGAGCTATGTTTATAGAAGTCACTATTCTGGATGAAGTTGTCCGTGATATAGAAATAAGTGATGATTCCAGGATTCTTCCGGTATTGAGTTTGTCTTCTGTTGGCGATAAGTTCTCGAATTATCCTGTAATTTTATCAAGTGGTTGTGTGGAATTACGAGTTGATGTCTGACGACAACAAGGAAGGCCTGTGTACAACACCGTAATTCACACAACCACTTGATAAACTACACATCTCGAGACTTATCGCCACAGAAAGAGACAACACTCAATACCGAATAACCTGGAATCATCAACTTAATTCTATATCCTAGGACTGACAACTCAACCAGAAAGTGACTTCTATAACATAGCTGAACCACTTGCCACAAGGAAACCTTCTCATCGCTATCCCCATAAGAACACAGGAATGGAAAGAACAATTGTATAAGGTCTGCATCACAAACTTATCCAACTCCTTTCCCAAACTACCAAGATTGTTAGACTCAATACCCCCACTCGCTACATCATCAGATGCACATTCCTCCCCCTTGACCTCAGATTCTGAACCTGACTATAAATACTCCGCCCGTCCCCCCTTCCATCCCAGGTAGATCTGTTTGCGACTTAAAAAATCCACATGTGTGGGCGAAACGTAGTCCAATAAAGGATCACAATATACTGCATAAGAGTTTATATTTCCATTGTGTCGGTATTTTATACCATTTTATTTCCACTCTCTCATACACTCAGTTTCCTCTTCCTCTGCTATCCTCCTTGTCTTGTTCCGCCTCCTCTCGCCTCTTTCATCCCGTTAACAATGTTCTCGTGAAACACAATGGAACATATGTCATCGCTGTACTGTGTGTAATGTGCCAGGAAAATTTAGTGAGAGTAACGGTGGTAAAGGATACGCTATAACGATAAGAGATTAGCGGATAGACATATACCCGTACTGACAACTCCGCCAGAGGACTTACAACGACCGCGTCAAGAGTATTCACGTAGAAGAAAGTGAACCTCTCATATTGGCAAGAGCTGAGAATATCCCATTGAACGGCTACACTTGAGACGCTATCAGTGAATGTATCATTCTTACTTCCTGCTGGCATACGCAGAGTTCCCCCAGTGTTTTTCACAGTGGCCTTTGGAGGACGCGGGTGGGTTGGAGGATGGGGAAGAGAGCCTCTGTGTTTTTCTAAATCCTTGTCTTTCACCACCGGGATAATAACGATATATGTTCCTAAACTAGGTAGAAGTAGATAGTCCTCAGCAGATAGTCTCGTGTGGACCTTGAGTACCTCTTCCCATGCGTGCCTGTGTACGACCACTCTCATAGTAGGAAGACTAGTAAGATAAGAATTCGTTCGGATTTTTAACCACCGGAGGTTAGCCACCCAGATAACCCAAGAAAGTCCAGTGCGTCCATCGAGGACTGTCTAAATTATTCGAGGACTATTCGAGCAGACTCTACAGTGTTCTTCCATTCCTGTGTTTTATGTGGATAGCGATGAAGTAAGTTTCTTGGCAAGTGGTTCAGGCTAGTTTATAGAAGCCACTATTCTGGTGATGTTGTCGCTATAGAAATAAGATGATGATTCCAGGATTCTTTCGGTATTGAGTGTTGTCTTCTGTGGCGATAAGTCTCGAGTTCTTATTTTATCAAGTTGGTTGTGTGAATTACGGTTTTGTACACAGGCATTCTTGTGTCGTCAGACCAACACCGTATTCACTCAATAGAGTAAAAGTAAAAATGGGAAAGAAAAAAAATAAAGGAATAAGAAAGAATACTAACCATTCGTGATAACTACAGAAACACCGAGACTTAATCGCCACAGAAGACAACACCAATACCGAAGAATCCTGAATCATCACTATATTTCTATATCCGACTTTCAGTTGGTATAACCCTCATGCTTGGATCAGAAGGCACAGACAGCAGTGTTAAAACGGGCATTTAGCCCGATTAACATTGAAAGCTTAATGACTATTACACATTGACTCCAGGCTGAGCGCAACTTATTACCTCAAACTCCTTCTGACCTTCACCATTCCTTTCTTTCATAGAGACTGTGAGAGCCACCTGTGTAGCGTAACGTTTTCCTTAATGAAAGATACCGATATTTTGCACGATGTGTCTAAATTTATCAACCTGTCGGTTCCGAACCATTTTTTCTATCAGCTCTAAGCCAAAGGAAGGTGGACCTTGAAGGGCGCTCTACTCAAACAACTGGAGCTGATCTTTCTTGGATCAGATGTGAGACCTTCCATGGCATGCCAAAGATACGTAATTTATTTGTATTCCGCGAATGCTACACACACTCTTTAAAGGCTGCCTCTCCCAACCAGCGAAGCAGATTACTAAGGGTCGACATCGGGCCCCATCGTCACTATCAAGTGTCTTGGTTCAAGCAATATCATAATGTGAATCTGGGCAATTATAAAGGTGACCGTGGTTACCACACGCACGTTTTTACCCTTTTCATTTCCATTCTAGAGCTGTTGTGAAGCACGGTGTCCTGTTGTTCTTTTGGCGTCCTCCTTTGCCTTGATTAACCCTGGTGTGTACTTATACCTATTTCTGTACATAGTGATATAGTGTGAGCATATTGCTGTTTAAACTTGGTGATGGATAATACAAATCAGTTTATTTCTGCTGTGTTTATTTGCTCCATTTACACCCAGGATAACAGACCTTTGAGAACCTGGTTGTAATAACCTCACCATTCCCCAAGCGTTCTATGAGGGTTTTTTTACACTACTAGCTTAGTATCGCCTGAGATGTCCACTAGTTAGATGGAAAACATTCGTCCTGTGTTGTTCATGTGGTTATTGATACCCATACAGACAGCATTCTCGAGTGTTAAATTGTAAGTAAGTGTAATGTATGGTGTGTTGTTGAATATATATATATATATATAATATATATATTTATATATTATATATTGTCTGAAAGGTTTCGCATATTAAGTAATATATATTGTGAGGGCATTCAGGGAAAAGCCGGTTAGCCAGTTTCCGGAATCCCGGTGGTTGGAAGTACAAAGCCTGCACTTTAAAGAGGGGTTTTGGGATATTGGCAGTTTTGGAAGTGGCATCTAAATTTCTTATCTGCACTCTGCAAGGACAGTGATGTGTGAATGATGGTGAAGTTTTTTATTTTATTTTGAGGGGGGGGTGGAGGGGGGTGAAGAGAGGTCACCTGCCTCGTGGAAACGACCAGTGTATTTTGAAAAAAATAAAGTAAATACATCATGACGCTTGCTACATTATTCAAAAATCGAGCGAACAAGCGATAAAAGATGCAAACATCCCACGAGAGGAGTCTTGAATCAGCGTACTCTAGGCCCTTCTCCGTGTTGTCTATCAACACATCAGGGAGCTTGCGCAGTGTTGCAGAAATTATTAGGAAGTCCAGGTAAATACGTTCAAGGGAACGACTCTATGCTAGAATACATACATCATGTCATCTGTTGTGTTCACAGACACAAAAACTGCATTCTTTAATTAATGCAAAAGAAAAATGTGAGGTTAAGAAAGGGGTAATTGGATGCTGACTGTTACGGGTGATTAGGATGGTGAACCTGCTCTGCTGTTACTAGGTGATGTAGGATGGGTAACCTCTACTGTTACTGTATGTAGGAATGTGAACCTGCTTGGGCTGTTACTGGTGTGTAGGATGGGTAACCTCTGGACTGTACTAGTGATGCAGGATGGTAACCTGCTGACTGTTACCTGGTGATAGCAGATGGTAACCTGCTGAACTGTTACTGGGTGAACACGACACGAAATAGGGAGATCAGTTGTCAGAGCCAGGATGAGTACGCACAGGTAAGAGGAGGCCCACGACAGTATAAAATGACATAGCATCAAGAATCAAGACTGACCAGAAACTGTTGTATAGGCCACATCAGGAGGAAGACAACCAGTCCAAAGACCAAGTTGATCAGATTAAGGACAAGAAGGGTGTAGAACTCTACAAGAATGATCAGGAGGTAAGTGAGGAGCTGAAACAGGAGATTTAAGGAATTTTTACAGTAGAACAGGAAGGGCTGTGGGAAGACAGCACAGGAAGGGAACATCAAGAGGGGAATATACCAACAATGTTGGATGACATTACGAACACTGAGGAGGAGTCTGAAGAAAGCTCTTAAGTACCTGACCCTCAGAAGGCGAAGTGGGACCGGAACACATCTCACCATGTGGTCCTTAGAGAAGGACAGAGATGTCTGTGCATGCCTCCTTTTTAACCACAATCTCAACACATCCCTTGAACTGGGCAACTACCTGAGAAATGTGAAGACAGCTAATGTAGTCCATATTTAAGAAAAGAAACAGAATGAGGCACAAACTACAGACCTAAGTCTCTGACCAGTATTGGTGTGCAAGTCATGGAGAAGAATAATCAGAGAAGGAGAGTGTTCGAACACCTGGAACGGAACAAGATTATAAATGAAAACAGCATGGTTCATGGCAGCAAATCTTGTTATCACAAACCTCCTGGTAAGTTTTATGTACAAGTAACCAGAGAGTAAGACACGAGAGAGAGGGGTGGGTAGATTGCGTTTTCCTAGACTGCAGGAAGGCCTTTGACACAAGTTCCCCACAAGAGTTTAGTGCTTAAGCTGGAGATCAGTGCACAAAAGGAGGGCACATGCAATAGGATAAGGGAATACCTGACAGGGAGGCAGCAACGATCATGTACGTGAAGAGGAATCACAGTGGGGCGCCTGTTACGAGCGTGGTCCCACAGGGTCGAGTTCTAGGACCATGCTATTTTTGATATAATGAACGACAAGATGGAAGGAATAGACTCTTGAGAGTCCTGTTTCGCAGATGGAACAAGTAGATGAAAGAATTAAATCGTACTAGGATGAGGCAGGACTGCGAAAGAGACCGTGGACAGTCAGGTGACATGTGGTCCAGCAACAGGCTTTCTCAATTCACATACCAGCCGAAAAAGCAAAGTCATGAAGATTGGGGAGGGCAAAGAAAGACCGCATACAGTAGTAATAGGCTAGGTGACAAAGACTACAAGCCCTCACTCATGGAGAAAGACCTTGGGGTGCACCATAACACCGAGCCACAATCACCGGATGCCCACATCAACACAATAACCCTAGCAGCATACGGGCGCCTTGCAGAACCTGAGAGTAGCGTTGCCGATACCTAATAAGAGAATCGATGAAACACTGTACACTGTGTAATGTTAGGCCCATACTGGAGTATGTCAGCACCCCTCAGGGAACCCACACCTGGTCAACACGCAAGAAGTTATAGGAAGTACAAAGGTTTGCAACAAGGCTAGTCCCAGAGCTCAAGGAAGTAGAACGAGGAAAGGAGTTAAAGGGAAATCGGACTGACGACACTGGAGGACAGTAAGGTTCAGGGAGAACATGATAAAACGAACATACAAGATACTGCGGGAATAGAACAGGTGACAGAGATAGGATGTTTCCAGAGGGGCACCACAGGGACAAGGGGTCACAACTGGAAGCTGAAGACTCAGACGAGTCACAGGGACTGTTTAGGGAAGTATTTCTTCAGTCATAGAGTTGACAAGCAAGTGGAATAGCCTAGCTCTGAAGTAGTGGTAGGCAGGACCATACATAGTTTTAAGAAGAGGTATGACAAAGCTCCGGAAGCAGAGAGAGAGAGATCCATAGCGATCAGTGAAGAGCGGGGCCAGTAAGCCCGAGTCCGCGACCCGCTGCAACCACATATTAGGTGGTCATAGTTATATACATACATAACACTGTGCATACATAAGACACATACACGTCTACATATACGATACAGAACGAGGAGAGAAACAAAATTTGCTTGACTTGTGCGAAACGTATTACCCGACAATTGTATTCCCCCCCCCGCCCCCTGCACTTGCACTTTTTGCCATATAAGGAAATGTCTGCCTGGAGGTTAACCAATACACGACCGCCTTCCTGTTACCTACACCAACCTGGCCGGCCAAGACAGCTACCGTTTCCCCCCTGTCACTTCACTCAGACCTACCGGCCAATCAGTAGACCTCTTTTCTGAATACGTCACTTACCTGAGCCTACCAAAGAGCGACCTCGTCCCCTGAACTCACTATTATCCAGCCGACCAATCAGCCTGTGTAGGCCTGCAGTACGCCCATGGGTTGCCCAACACCAAATACATACGACCAAAATAATATTTATACTAATTAAATCAACAACATTAATTTTAAACATATAAAGCGTAAGGACTAAATATTTAAAAAAAATCCCTGGTTTTATATATTATATATATAAAGTAAATATATATATATATAAATATATAAATATATATATATATAAATATATAACTATATGAGTGTAAATGAGAGAATAAAATAAGTAAAAGACTCAGAATCCATAATGTACAATGTTAAGTGACGTGAAAAAGATGAGTTGTTTAGTGAGCACGTTGATATGGCAGATTGCTTTGGAGCAAGACTGTGAACAATACCCCTGCAACTGTATGTTCTTAACCTTCACCCATAGTTACTTGATCTTTTACCACCAAAACATCCACCACAACCATGACCAGCAACCCGAGCAACCACCTCAAACACAAGCCACCCTAAACCCCCAACATCCCTCCCAGCAACCCTGCCAAACTAGCTTAGTATAGACAACCACTAACCGTTAACCACCACCATAATCTACAACACAATAAACATCAACCGCCACCATACCATCACCCAGAACAACCACTGTAACCACAACCCTGAACCACCATAACTACCACCACTACAACTACCCCAAGACGAGCGTAGATCTGTTGTAGCTAGAGTTAATTACAGCTACTACAAGAGGAAGCACAGCTCTGTAGCTACAATAATTACAGTACCCCTAGAGGTCAGCGGTCACAACCATCTGGCACAAGACCCAGTGCCGGGACAGCATAATTAATACAGCTACAGGTCAGCCGGGTCACCATCTGGACAAGACCCAGGCCGGGACAGCATAATTATTACCACTAGAGGTCAGCCGGTCACCCATCTGGACAAGACCCTGGCCGTGACATGCATAATTATTTACCACTAGAGGTCAGCCGGTCACCATCTGGACAAGACCCGGGTCGGGAGCAGCTCCGGTAAACGCCACCACAGGGGTCAACACTGCTGATAACCTCTCTTCTCTCCTTGCCTGCGTCCTTTGTACAGCTGTAAGTGTCGTGATGACGGCCTGAGGAACCTCGTAATAATACCTCGGCACCAGATCTCGTATAGGTAATCGTTCTCTCTATCACTCGGTACAGCATCTGGCCAAACACATGGTATACGTCAACATGTATTCAACACGTTGGTCTACTCATATCTCGGCATATCTAATTTACGCATCTGCAGCATATCAATGTACAACGATCTATCATGAATAAACTAAAAAAGCTATAACGTATCATTACACATTCAATAACCATAAAATGAAACCAAACCAGATTCTGTACCTGCAAGCACAAACAGTGAAGACAGTATGCAAACACAAGACAGTGAAGACAGTTGCAAACACAAACTGATCGTGAAAGAAGTATTCCCCATTCAGCCAAACAATCGTAAGAAAACCTTGCTGTGCCAGTTAAAAAAAAAATATCAGAAATAACAAACCTTGAACACACATTTACAATACAGTTAACACCCTCGTGAAGTTGCGACAACTACTTATAACATCTATCCACGTCACCACCATCACCACATGAGCCAACACACCACATCACATGAGCCAACACACCACACATCATCCAACACACCACATCACATCAGCATCAGCCAACACACCACCCATGCACACCATCCACTACAGCAACATCCTTCTTCCGAAAAATACTTAGCCGAAACGGCTAAAAGAGAACCCAAACCCAAAGCCCAGAGGCGCCGTTATACAACTAAGAGAAAATAACACAAATAAGTGGTCGGGCCCCAAGACTGTTCAAACAGCCTCCCACAAGCCATAAGGGGACTACCCAATAGACCCTTGTCTGCCTCAAGAGGCAGCTGGATACCGGATGTGGTTCTTACGCTGAACTACGGTGCGGCCAGCAGTAACAACTTGGTTTTAATCAGGCCCTTATCCATCGGACGCACTGGTGAAGGTCCAGACCAAGGGGGGGGTGGGGCGGTTGTACGCCACGAACCTCCTCTAGTAGACGAGCCAAGAATTACTACGAAGACTACTAACAAAAGAAGACATAGTTTATGCGAAACTGTGTTGTGTTGTATATCACTATCATAATACCAGTGCTAGTTCATTCCAAAGCAAAGAAGTAAGGAGGCCGATTCCGTGTCCACTTGTGACTAATTTCGCTGCTGCGGGAATCTACTACACGAGACCTTCCAGGAAACAGTACGGAGGAACAGATGCACATTACGAGGTCAACAATTAAAAACAAACCAACCAGGACAAGTATACCTACACTAGAAGCAGAGATGAAGAAAATAGTATGAAAAGGGAGATTCTACGGGAAGTGGAGACAACAGAGGCCATGGAAACTGACTGCATATCCCATGAGAGCTGAGAGAAGTAATGGCTGAGAGCTGTACACTATGATACCCAAGATACCCAACTGTGCAACAGTTGGGTATCTTTATGAAAAGTTTCACCTACACAGTGGGCTGCTTCAGTCAAATACAGAAGGAGTAGTAGTGATGAAATCATTCCATCAACCCAGGAGAAAAGAATTTGAAGTGGGTCAGTCCCTCAGCCTGGAGAAGTATTTTTGTTCCATAGTCTGGAACAACTGTTAAAGATTATGGAACAAAAACTCTTCTCCAGGCCGAGGGACTAACCACCTCAAGATTACGTCTTCAAGGGTGATGGACTGATTACATTGTAATCAGTCCATCTCTACCGCTTCTGCAAACTTCTGTATTCGACATAAGAAGCCTAGTGTGTAGGTGAAACGTTTAGGAATAAAGATACCCAAGTGTTGCACGTGTCTTGCTTATCAACATAGTCGTATTATATACCACATTATATATCTGGCTTTTCCTCACTCGTTGTCCATAGCTTCATTACTTACATTGTTTCCTACTTCTATCTTCAGTTCTAATATTGTAAATGTTTGTTTACGGTTGTAAACGCTGAGTCACCTACGACATCACACAGCTTCGTAAATATTACTCTTACAACAACTACCACTGATATAACTACTGACAGCAACAACTACCACTGACATAACTACTACATCAACAACTACCACTGATATATACTCACTACGACACAGCAACAACTACACTGAAATAACTACTACAACAACTACCACTGATATAACTACTACAGCAACAACTACCACTGATATAACTACTACAGCAACAACTACCACTGATATAACTACTACATCAACAACTACCACTGATATAACTACTACAAGCAACAACTACCACTGATATAACTACTACAGTCAACAAACTACCACTGATAAAATACTACAGCAACAACTACCCACTGATATAACAACTACAGCAACAACTACCACTGATATAACTACTGAGCAGCCAA